GCGTTCCACCTGCCCATTACTCTCCGGGTGGTAACCCGAGGTGAGGCTCACCGAGACCCCCAACCGCTCCATAAAAGCTCTCCAGACTCTGGAGGTGAATTGGGGACCTCGGTCAGCCACAATGTCCTCGGGCACCCCGTAGTGCCGGAACACATGGGTGAATATAGCTTCGGCGGTCTGCAGGGCAGTAGGAAGACCCGGCATGGGGAGCAAACGACAGGCCTTAGAGAACCGGTCCACAACGACCAGGATGGTAGTATTCCCTTGAGAGAGGGGAAGGTCAGTTATAAAATCCACCGAGAGGTGGGACCATGGTCGTTGTGGAACGGGCAGGGGCAGTAACTTACCCCTAGGCAGATGTCTAGGCGCCTTACACTGGGCGCACACCGAGCAGGAGGAAACATAAACCCTCACATCCCTGGCCAACGTGGGCCACCAATATTTGGCACTACCCGGGTACCCGGGTGTCCAGAGGAGGGTGACGTGTGAGCCCAATAGATCAATCGATCCCGACACTCGAGCGGAACATACTTCCGACCCTCCGGGCATTGTGGTGGACTAGGGTCGGTGCGTAATGCCCGCTCGAGCTCAGAATCGAGCTCCCACACCACCGGTGCCACTAGACACGACTCCGGCAGTATGGGAGTGGGCTCCACGAACCTCTCCTCCCCGTCATACAGCCGAGACAGCGCATCTGCCTTCCCGTTTTGTGACCCAGGGATGTAGGTGATCTTAAAAGAGAAACGGGTCAAAAACATACTCCATCTAGCCTGCCGAGGGTTCAGCCTCCTCGCTGCCCGGATGTACTCCAGGTTACGGTGGTCCGTCAAAATGAGGAAAGGGTGTTGAGCCCCCTCAAGCCAGTGCCTCCACACCTTAAGGGCCTGTACCACAGCTAACAGCTCCCTGTCCCCTATGTCATAATTTCGCTCCGCCGGGCTGAGCTTCTTGGAATAGAAGGCACAGGGGCGGAGTTTAGGTGGCGCGCCTGACCGTTGTGAAAGCACGGCGCCAATACCGGCCTCAGACGCGTCCACCTCTACCTGAAATGGTAAAGAGGGATCCGGATGCGCCAGCACCGGAGCCGAGGTAAACAGGTCCTTCAGCCTCCCAAACGCCCTGTCCGCCTCGACTGACCACTGCAGACGCACCGGACCCCCCTTCAAGAGAGACGTGATGGGAGCTGCCACTTGCCCAAAACCCCGGATAAACCTCCGGTAGTAATTCGCAAACCCCAAAAACTGCTGCACCTCTTTCACAGTGGTTGGTGTTTGCCAATTACGCACGGCCGACGCTCGGTCTACCTCCATCTTCACCCCTGACGCTGACAACTGATACCCCAAAAAGGAGATAGACTCCTGGAAAAACAGACACTTCTCTGCCTTCACATACAGGTCGTGCTCCACCAGCCTCCGCAACACTCTGCGCACCAGGGCCACATGCTCGACACGGGTAGGTGAGTACACGAGAATGTCATCTATGTACACAACGACTCCCTGTCCCTGCATGTCCCTGAAGATCTCATCCACAAAGGATTGGAAGACCGACGGAGCATTCATCAACCCGTATGGCATGACTAGATACTCGTAATGGCCCGAGGTGGTACTAAAGGCTGTTTTCCATTCATCATCCTTCTTGATGCGCACCAAGTTGTACGCGCTCCTGAGATCTAATTTCGTGAAGAAACGCGCCCCATGCAACGACTCAGTCATGGTCGCAATCAGCGGGAGTGGATAACTATACTTCACCGTAATCTGATTGAGACCACGGTAATCGATGCACGGACGCAAACCACCATCCTTCTTCTTCACGAAAAAGAAACTCGAGGACGCGGGGGAAGTGGACGGCCGTATGTATCCTTGTCTCAGCGATTCGTCTATGTAAATCTCCATAGCTTTCTTCTCCTCCTGAGACAGAGGATACACATGACTCCGTGGGAGCGCAGCTCCTGCCTGAAGGTTTATCGCACAATCCCCCTGCCTATGGGGTGGCAACCGCGTCGCCCTCGCCTTACTAAACGCGATAGCCAAATCCCCATACTCAGGTGGAATGTGCAATGCGGTCACCTGGTTTGGACTCTCCACCGAGGTAGCCCCTACGGAAACGCCCAAACATCTACCCACACACTGAGCAGACCACTCCATCAGAGCCCTCTCCTGCCACGAAATCACTGGGTTATGGGTACTCAACCAGGGCATGCCCAGCACCACCGGATACGCAGGAGAGTCAATCAGGAACAGCTGAATCATCTCCTGATGATCCCCCTGCGCACACATTCTAAGTGGCGCCGTGACCTCCCTGATCAAGCCCGTACCCAACGGACGACTATCTAGGGCGTGAACGGGAAAAGGAACATCAACAGGAATGAGGGGAATCCCTAACGCTAAACAAAACTTTTTATCAATAAAATTCCCAGCTGCGCCTGAATCTACCAGCGCCTTATGCTGGGCATGAGGTGCTACCTGTGGAAAACATACAGGCATACAGAAATGGGCAACAGAGAGCTCTGGGTGAGTGGGGGCGCCTACTCACCTGGAAGGAATCCCCAGTGCGGGACCTGTCGTCATCTCCCCTAGGAGGCCATCCCCAGCACCTAGCCGCGGTGTGTCCTCCCCGACCACAGTTGGTGCAGTGGATGGACCCCCTAGTCTGCCGACTCCTCCTATCTCTAGCGCCAGCGCCCCCGAGCTCCATAGGACACGGCTCGGATGCGCTGGAGGATGGAATGGACGGACCCCCCTCAGGACGTCCGCGGGTAGCCAATAGGTTATCTAACCTGATTGACATGTCGACCAGCTGGTCGAAAGTGAGACTGGTGTCCCGACAGGCCAGCTCCCGACGGACGTCCTCTCTGAGGCTACATCGGTATAGATCGATGAGGGCCCGCTCATTCCACCCTGCATCTGCCGCTAGAGTACGGAATTCGAGTGCGAATTCCTGGGCACTCCTCCTCCCCTGCCTGAGGAAGACCAGACGCTCCCCCGCCGCTTTCCCCTCCGGGGGATGGTCGAACACCGCCCTAAAGCGGCGGGAGAACTCGGTGTATGTAATAGTCGTGGCGTCGATCTTCCTCCACTCCGCGTTGGCCCACTCCAACGCTTTACCGGCCAGGCAGGAGATCAGGGCGGACACGCTCTCATGCCCTGAAGGTGCCGGATGTACTGTGGCCAGGTACAGCTCTACCTGGAGCAGGAATCCCTGACACCCAGCTGCGGTCCCGTCGTAGGACCTCGGGAGAGATAGTCGGACTCCGCGAGGTTCCGGCGCTGGACTGGGTGGGCTGGCCGATGGTGCTGGCAGGGCGTGTGGCGGTGGAGGCGGACCCCAGCCTCGGAGGGTGGTCATCACCTCCTGCAGGGCGGCCCCCATCTGCAGGAGCTGCTCTTGCTGTTCCCGAACCTGGGTTTCCAGTCTTGAATGTGCTGCTTCGGCTCCTGCTGATTCCATACTGTAAGGTGTGTGATTCTGTCAGGTCGTGTTGTAGGTGTGGTGTAGGAATCAAACGCAGGAAGCAGACTGAATTCCAAAAAGCTGTATTCCTGCCTAAACACAGGCAACAGGACAAAATAAGCCTGACAGCAAAATACGCACGAAGGCGAAAAGACAATGCGCACAAACAGGTGCGTCAGGATGAAATAAGTGCACACACAAGTGCAACGAACGCTCCAGTAAACAGTGGAGAAAATAACGCTCAACCGAGCAATACACAGACTGACGGTAACAATCACACACAACACAAGACAAACACAACGAGAAACTTATAGGACACTAATTACTACAAAACAGAAACAGGTGTAGAAACAAACAGACAAAAGCAAACGAACATGAAACATCAATCGGTGGCAGCTAGAATTCCGGAGACGACGAACGCCGAAGCCTGCCCGAACAAGGGAGAGAGGCAGCCTCGGCCGAAACCGTGACATTATATCATGCAATAAAACGCAAATTAATTACTTAAAAATCATACAATGTGATTTTCTGGATTTTTGTTTTAGATTCTGTCTCTCACAGTTGAAGTGTACCTATGATAAAAATGACAGACCTCTACATGCTTTGTAAGTAGGAAAACCTGCAAAATCAGCAGTGTATCAAATACTTGTTCTCCCCACTGTATGTAACTCTGTGTTGTTGTTTTTATCGCACTGCTTTGCTTTATCTTTGCCAGGTCGCAGTTGTAAATGAGAACTTGTTCTCAACTGGCTTACCTGGTTAAATAAAGGTGAAATAGAAAAATTTAAAACAAAAATGCTCTCGGGGTATGCGAGAACACATGGTCAGACGAGGAAAGAGCAGTAGGAGTAGCAGTGTTTTCTGTGGTAATCCATGTTTCCGTCAGCGCCAAGAAGTCGAGGGACTGGAGGGTAGCATAGGCTGAGATGAACTCTGCCTTGTTGGCCGCAGAACGGCAGTTCCAGAGGCTGCCGGAGACCTGGAACTCCACGTGGGTCGTGCGCGCAGGGACCACCAGATTAGAGTGGCAGCAGCCACGCGGTGTGAAGCGTTTGTATGGCCTGTGCAGAGAGGAGAGAACAGGGATAGACAGACACAAAGTTGACAGGCTACAGAAAAAGGCTACAATAATGCAAAGGAGATCGGAATGAAATTAACTAAACATCTGGGAAAGCGAGAGAGTGGGGCCTCCCTCACTTACGTTTCACTGAAATACTCAAATATAACTCTCTCAACTTCCACTTTAGAAATTATAATTGTTATAAACTACATCGGTTTAATGTTTTCTAGGAATAGACTCTAACTTAGTTTATTCAGCTAGCTAACTTGGTACAGTATTCTTCCGTGAAAACCGTCCAGGGCACCGAATCCTATGACGCAATAGGCAACTAGCATGCCAGCCTCCAATAACACGGTTTAGCACCAATACTCGGTTACAACAAACCACCAAACAGATCATTCGTGTCCGTGTGTGTGTGTGCGCGATGCTAATCCAAGCTGTTCTGTGCTGTATGTATATGTCTCTCCACAGGGACGTGGAGTATAAAGACATGCAGCTGTCTCAGGAGCAGAGTCGAGCGGCCAAACCCAGCTTAGCCTTTAAGAGTGGCCTGGCCTCCTCTCAGGACCCCCGCAAACAACTCAAAACCAAAGCAGTCAAGATCAAGAGCAAACTCAAAACAGCCCCCTACCCTCAGGTACTAAAGACTACTGTTCCTCACACTAGATTACTAATACAGTTCATATGCAGTGTAGTACACATACAGTAGCCTACATACTGTACCTGTACATTCACACGTACTAAGATATCAGGATGAATAGCTTTTGCCAGCTTGGAAAAAGAGGAGACACTGCAAACTCCCCAACGCAACGACTGTTTGCGTTGTATTTACAATCAGTAACTTTCCTTTTGAGAATTTATGAAATATCCCCTTCATTGTTATCCCAAAAATATAACAAGTAGGACTTGATTCTTCGTCAAAGCTCGACAAATGAGCTGTACACAACACTGTCTTCATTGCGTGTCTATGATATAAAAGTATAACACCACCATAACCTGTTGTCTATTGCCTCCACCTCCAGCCCAACAGCACCTACCACCCAGACAAGCTAGACTGCTCCCCCCAGGGAGGGAGCTGGAAGGAGAGCCCCCCCTACCCCCTGACTCCCTGCCAGGGGCAGATCTCAGGCCCCTCTGGAGGCCCAGAGGCTGGAGAGGTCCTGTGTAGTAGCAGCGCCCCCTATGGCCTCTCCTTCCCCTACCCCTATGGACACCTACCCCACATGGACTCCCAGAGGAGGTTGCGACACACCCAGGGTTCTTCCTCCGCCTCTCCCTCCCCATCTTCCCCTGGCCTGGCTGCCCGGCAGCTGCTCAGCTCCCTGCAGGGTCGAGGGGGAGAGGGGCGTTGGAGCTGTGCCAACGCCAAAACCCACCATGGTACTAGCCCCGGTCACACCCTGAGGCCGTTCGCTGCATCGTGTGCCATCACCACAGCCACCGCAGCTGCATATTCAGGTATGGCTCTGGCTCAAAAGCATGGGGCTTCCAAATCAGCGCTGAGGAACGCAGAGCTCTTTTTGCATGCTTTTGAATGCACTGCTAACTGATACAATCCATTTCCAGTAGCATTGCTACATTTTCAAAATAATGCTAGCCCAGACATTCTGGATGTTGCTAAATAACCATCTAACGAATTTAGAAACAGCTTGGAGGAAACAACAACACCCTAGGGAAGTTGAATATGAATTAAAACTTCAAAAAGGTGAACTGTCACTTTAAAGTGCTCTCTTTTAAGCCTTTTCACTCTTTGTTCTCAGGTCAGAAACGTTCATGAAAAAACATGAAAAATCATTGCTGACTGTAGCATTGGGCAAAGGCAGTGTCTGCTGCATCGCTTACTTCCCTGCTCCTCTGATGTCACTGCTAAACCCTAATCATTCTCAAGATAGCGTTTTAGCACAGTTTCACCGTAGCATTTTAGTCTGAATCTCACCGTAGCGTTTAATTTCTCCACAGCAGGCCCCACGACGAGCAGGAGGTACCCCCCCAGCGAGTCCCTCCATGACGGCTTCTCCAGCTGCTCAAACCCGCGCCCTAACAGCAGGTTTAAGGAAGAGCCCTATGAGCATCACACGCTTGGCCAGAACAAGACCACAGAGGATCGCCTGCATTCACTGTCACAGGCTACTAAAGAGGACAGCAAGCTGCCGTTCAGTCGAGACTACCTCCACAAGGCCTCTGAGGGTGGTGGTTGCGTAGGAGGGGAGAAGCCGTTGTCCTGTCCCCTGTTGAGTAGCTCTGTGCTGGGGAAGGTGAGCTGCGAGCAGTCCCGGTCCTTCCATGGCCTGGGCCAACCCTTCCCCATGCAGGTTGTCCTGGAGCAGCGCAGGAGGCTGTGTATGATGGAATCCCCCTACAGCCACAGTGCCACCGGCCCCCTGGAGAACACAGACAGCAATGGGGAGCAGGGGAGCCCCAAGCTGCTGGAGCCTGAGGCGGGGGAGGAGGAGAGGAGGATGTGGATGGGGATGGGGGTTGGAGTTGGGATGGGAGTCGGGGTAGGCCTGCCGGCCCAGGCGCCGTACGTGTCTTTGAACCTCCACCACGTCTTGGCCAAACACAGCTCCTTCCAGGCCCCGCCATATGCTGCCCTCGGCCACTTGACGGACAGCTACGGTTACCGCGGCGACGAAATTGGTTCTTACGACTACAAGAGCCAAAGCCCCGCCTCCAGCTCCTCCCCTGAGATCCACAGGGAGATCCCTCATTACATCGGCACGTCCGTCATCATCACCAACGAGAGGTGACACAGCCCGGGGGTCGAAGGACAAGGATGGACAGACACCCTGAGACTTCAGCCTTTTTGGTCAGAAACATAAACAATGACCAGAAGCTGTATCAGTGACTATGTAACTATGTCAGACATAAGTCGAGTCACTTTCTGGGGACCCTGTCTGGTTAAGACCGCCACATGGCTCTCCATTTCTGTTCTTCAGATGTTTTCTACGCAGACCAATGTCAGACTCCTCTAAGGAGCAGCCAGTAATTTCAGGTTTCTTGAATATATTATATTTTTGCATACTGTTTAGCCAATAGTATAAATGCATTGTCACATTCTAGTTCAAAGCCATTTATTTTGATAAAATGTCAAGGACCTTTGAGCCATGATACAATACATAATTGGAGGTACAAATTGCCTGTGAAGAATACACCCCTCTAATGTTGTAACTCAGAGGCACCAATCATAACTGACCAGAACAAGAAGATACTATAGAATGGTCAAAAAAAAAAGCTACATTTTGATTGAATGTAGCATGATTTCAACCTAATTTGTAAGCTAGTTTAAGTGCAAACGGTTTCCAATGCAGTTCTTTTTTTGTGACAGCGACATAAAAAGGACAAAATATGCCAACACAAAATAATAAATGCTGCCTCTCTACCTTGTATATTGAATGGAAAACTGACAGACGCAAAAGTATTTCAACGTGGACACTTCCTTGCAAACATGAATGAGGGTAAATATTGTTCACCCTCTTTTGAAGTTAACATGAATTAATTTGGTCAATTCTACCAATGGCAGAGATCGGAAACGCAATGTGTATATTTATTATTGTGCAACACATAGCAGCTTGCTTATTTATGAAGAAAACCAGGATCTAACATGTATAATGAGAAAAATGTCAACTGCATTGGGGAAAATGAAACGAAATAAAACACGGTAGTTTGCTTTCATTCTGAATAAACAATTCAAATGAAATGTCCTGCCAGACAGTCGTTGTCCGTTGCTATTTTCAGCTCTTCTTTATTTTTCAGAATGCATAGTGGATATCATCTGGTTATTGAAGAGGTCTGGACATTGCTGTGATATCAAGCACATGTAAAATGTCAGAATAACGAACACTTGTATATAATAGTTACAGATAACCTTACTTTCTTCTATGATGTCATCTTGAAATACACCTTTATGTTCTCCTGCCTGAATCCCATCAACCTGGTCACATGGGCCCTCCAAATGTCTGTGTATGTGGGAGTGTGTTCTCCCAGTGACTGCAAGGAACTGTCCATCCACCATGATCTTCTGTATCCATACACCCCTCCACATTTCCCTTAGGACCAATGTTCCCTCAAATGTTTTTCGGCACTGAGCAAATTTCAGGTCTGCTGAGCTCAAACTTTCTGAAAATTCTGTGCAACTTCCAGCGCGCGTTTACTGTGAACACTGAGGCTGTACCCGCTTAAAGTTACAGTTTGAAAAGTGGCCAACTAGGCTACTGTGGCTATTTGATCATAATGTAGGCCTACCAGAGTGGCCTACCATCAAAAACAACAGAGAAAATGCATCTCATAACATTTTAACATGGAAATAGCTGTTCTATCATTCAGCCTACAGTAGCAGCCAATGTGTGGTGTTCAATGTAGGCCTACATTCTAATATCGTGTTGATTCGATCAAAATTGCCACAGTAAAGGGAAACGTTGATAGTGTTAACAGGGAAAACTCTAGAACAGTGGTCACCAACCTTTTCTGAGTCAAGATCACTTTGAGTCAAACTGAAAGCCGAGATCTACCGCTCAGATTTTTTTTAAACATAACTTAAAAACCTTAAGCCTATGCAACATTAACTAATTAAAAACAGTACTGTAGCAGTAAGCTATAGGCCCAATACATTATCACCGGATATTGGCTTTGCTTGAATTGCCCTGCCAATGCATTGTTGTTTGCGCCATTTTAGAAAATTTGAGGTAGGCTATATGATCACACCGGTAATAGATCGGTTATTTGTATTACTTGTGAGGCACAGCTGAGTGAGCATACATTTACATTCTTTTATTTTATTTTTACTGGGATGATGTTACCTGCATCTGATGGTCAGTCTCAGCGGAGGGAGAGAGCAGCAGACTGAGGGTCCGCCTCTCAACATCCCTCCGCTCTCCCTTTCCTCCACTGACACTGACCAAAAAGGGACACAGTCTTCCAGATGATGGTGAAACTCGAGTCGCATTATTTCTGCCTCATGCACAAATTCATGTTGTTACTCCTTTGAACAGAGAAAGTGAAATATTCCTCGATATCATAAAAGAACCAAGCCACTAATAAAAACAACGCAAGCCTATAGATACACTTTCCTACTCATTCATTACTGCTGCAGTGCTCGTTGTAGCGCTGAGTTGAAATTGGAAGAATGCACATTTTATATGGCTTATAAAAGTGTTAAATACAAAGTGTTGACAGTCCTGAGTAAGAATTTAAACATGAACTCACTCATAAAAACAGCAGCTCTTTGCTGTATTTGTTGACAGTCTCTCTAGTCATTTTAAACATTTTGAAATCTCACAGTATCCACTTTGCTGTAGCTTTCTTATGCCTGCTACTTTACTGCAGGCATGCTAAACTGAGCCACCCGATTGGCCAACAGTAGGCCTATAGTATACTTGATTTGCTCTCCGGGCCCGCCGGTAGGGCAGAGTTTGTACCTTCAGACACATGAAATGGTTCAAAATGGCAACAGTTCGCCAACCCGGCATGCAGGGCAGCTGAATCGGGTTCACCTACCGTCAACAGCCCAAGACGAATAAGAAAAAATTGTAACACAAGGCTTTAGCGTTGGGTTTTTTACAAAACAATTTGGCGATCAACTAGGAATGCCTTGGAGATCGACAAGTTGATCGTGATCAACCGGTTGGTGACCACTGCGCTAGAAAGTTGAGTGAAGTTCCATCTTGTGCTTCTCTGTGGGCTGATATTTCTTCTGCATGGCAGTCCTGGGGGAGCTGCGAGGCAGTCTCGGGCTACTGCGCACAGCTTAGAGGGAACATTACTTAGGACACATAGTCAGGGAGCTATTTGGACAAGCCCCAGTCACACAGCCAGAGGTCCACATCTACACAGTCCGATGACAGCCAAACACACATCAGAGGAAGCTCTAAAAAACTGAAATAATATTAGGCACTTACATAAAAAAAAACGATATTTTTCTCATATTAGTGTTATGTACACTGAGTGTACAAAACATTAGGAACACCTTCCTAATATTGAGTTGCACCCCCCTTTGCCCTCAGAACAGCCTCAATTAATCGTGTTACATTCCCCAGCAAGAAAAAACCAAATAGAGTCGCTCAAACAGAAGGGGGAACTAACAAATAGTCACTGACCAACAACCAAAATGAAACAGGTGGGGTTTTAGGAGGGGTTCTGAAAGACACTCATGGAGGCGTCCACTGAAAGTTGACATGCAACAACAACTGGAACCTAAAAAACACCCACCATGAGCGCCCACTAAGTTTGCCCAAGAAGAGGCAAACAAAAGAAAAACCCACACCAAACTTAAAGGCAGGAAGCAAACCAAAAACCTTCCCACTAACGAGATGGCAACCAGCACAAGTGTAATACAGTACATACTGACTAACGAGGTGACGCCAATCTGTGCGCCCTACGTGCTAGCGAGTTATATGTGCTAAAGTCCAACCTCAAAAGTTTGCTCACCACCAACAGAAAACAACTTCTATTGCACAACATAATCAACTTAAATGCGTCGCTACTTATGCGTCGCCTTCTCCAATATAAACATGGCGTCTACTGGTTGTCAGTAATTAAATATAAGACAAAACAGCCACCTCTTATTTATTTTAAAAAATATATATATATATATACTGCTCAAAAAAATAAAGGGAACACTTAAACAACACAATGTTACTCCAAGTCAATCACACTTCTGTGAAATCAAACTGTCCACTTAGGAAGCAACACTGATTGACAATAAATTTCACATGCTGTTGTGCAAATGGAATAGACAACAGGTGGAAATTATAGGCAATTAGCAAGACACCCCCAATAAAGAAGTGGTTCTGCAGGTGGTGACCACAGACCACTTCTCAGTTCCTATGCTTCCTGGCTGATGTTTTGGTCATTTTTGAATGCTGGCGGTGCTTTCACTCTAGTGGTAGCATGAGACGGAGTCTACAACCCACACAAGTGGCTCAGGTAGTGCAGCTCATCCAGGATGGCACATCAATGCGAGCTGTGGCAAGAAGGTTTGCTGTGTCTGTCAGCGTAGTGTCCAGAGCATGGAGGCGCTACCAGGAGACAGGCCAGTACATCAGGAGACGTGGAGGAGGCCGTAGGAGGGCAACAACCCAGCAGCAGAACTGCTACCTCCGCCTTTGTGCAAGGAGGAGCAGGAGGAGCACTGCCAGAGCCCTGCAAAATGACCTCCAGCAGGCCACAAATGTGCATGTGTCTGCTCAAACGGTCAGAAACAGACTCCAAGAGGGTGGTATGAGGGCCTGACGTCCACAGGTGGGGGTTGTGCTTACAGCCCAACACCGTGTAGGACGTTTGGCATTTGCCAGAGAACACCAAGATTGGCAAATTCGCCACTGGCGCCCTGTGCTCTTCACAGATGAAAGCAGGTTCACACTGAGCACATGTGACAGACGTGACAGAGTCTGGAGACGCCGTGGAGAACGTTCTGCTGCCTGCAACATCCTCCAGCATGACCGGTTTGGCGGTGGGTCAGTCATGGTGTGGGGTGGCATGTCTTTGGGGGGCCGCCCTCCATGTGCTCGCCAGAGGTAGCCTGACTGCCATTAGGTACCGAGATGAGATCCTCAGACCCCTTGTGAGACCATATGCTGGTGCGGTTGGCCCTGGGTTCCTCCTAATGCAAGACAATGCTAGACCTCGTGGCTGGAGTGTGTCAGCAGTTCCTGCAAGAGGAAGGCATTGATGCTATGGACTGGCCCGCCCGTTCCCCAGACCTGAATCCAATTGAGCACATCTGGGACATCATGTCTCGCTCCATCCACCA